TCAGGTGGCCGAATGTCTCAGTACTCCTTGTCAGTTTTGTGCCATTTTGTCGCACTTGCTGACTGTATAAGATGTGGTTACGTTGGTGGGCAGTTTGTCATAACTCGTAACATTTTGTCCTTCTCCTTTCTTCATCATAACTATTATTGGCTCACCATCCGAGTTCAAATTTGCACACCTGATGAGCCGTCATGACCTAAACGGCGAAACGTACGTCGTGTGGAACTACTTGTTATTGTACATAATTAGTCCATCATACATGATAGTGGAGTTCAGTAGGATGTTGGCGTTTCGCTTTGTCACAATTCGTCTTCGCTTAGCTTCCCCTTCTATGTTTATTACATAAACTTGAGCCTCCCAAGTTGGGTGGTCTGTTGCTTTGCGTCGTCGAGTTGTAGTAAGGCCGGTCTGTCCAATAGTCTTACTAGTTTCGTCATCATCCAGTAACTTTCGGCATTCTTTGTTGCCGTGATGCGTAGCTCATGCTCTTTTTCGTTGCGCTTTCCTTCCCGTCTTGGACCTTTCCGAACCTAAGCCTTCCAAGTTGGAAGGTTGTTGGTTTGCGCCTTGGAGAAGCGTTGGAGCTAGGTATCAGGTCGCCGAATGTCTCAGTACTCCTTTGTCAGTTTTGTGCCATTTTTTCGGACTCGCTGACTGTATAAGATCTGGTTACGTTGGTGGACAGTTTGTCATAACTCGTAACATTTTGTCCTTTTCCTTTCTTCATAAAAATAATTCTTATAACAATAAAACGTAGCCTGTAAAATGTCCATGTCCAGTATTTATAATAAAAATAATCTGCTGCAATTTATAGATCCTCACATGCGAGCATCCTGGGCCTCAGCAACAACCAGCTCAGCAGACTCCGGATGCCGAACCGATCACTCACGAAAAGACCCCGTGAACCCCGCAAACACATGATGCATGATCGCAACAGGGCAGATGAGAGACGGCATCTGACGTGAGATATTACGTGATAGTACTGCTCCTTCCTCCTTTCCGCTCTCAATAACGCGATTCGGCGATAGAGTGATGTCGCCGCTCTTCCCATGCCACCACTTGCCGACAGCACAACAGGCATGAACGTAGCATACTCCACCTCTCTCACTCTCTCTTCATAGCATCGTCGCTTTTCTTTTTCATGGCGCCGATAGACAGTGGTGTGTGTTGCAGATCGATTTAAGTGTGCATGAGGATTAAAAACCCGCATATCAAGTAAAGTACGCTCAAAACGACAACCCCACAAACCACTGACCGCTACATCAAGCCGCGCATGCTCCTCTACAATAGCAGACCTGTATCTCATTCTCTCTTCAGTGAGTGGCTGCAGCAGTCACTCGATGGAGACATTGTGACAGGCCTCTTGAAGGAGAGAGGCTGTCACATCCCGGATCTCATTATGGCGGATAATGGTAAAACCACCAAGGAGACATGACAAGGCATGGTCAAACCATTGTCCCGTCCACAAGAGCAATGAGTTGGTAACTTCGGCGGCATCCAACCATAACAAAAGCACAAGCCGTCCATGAACTCAGCTTTGCTCAGTGAAAAGCCATACTTTTTCAATGGACGGCAAGTCAGCCAACTCGAGGTGCCAGGTTCACGGGCGAGGACAATGGTGTGTCCCAAGGCGTCCAACGCATCATTGCTGATACGCCGTGCCGACTCCGCCTGGCTATGACGTACTTCCTTCTTCCTCTTCGCCTTCTCTCGCTGGATGCCAATCAGAGAATTCCAAATATCAGAAACACGATCCACGATACGCCGGGAGAGAGATGCTGTGATAGCGACAGACGACTCATACTGGGAGCACAAACTCATTGGGCTGACCAGGCCCAGGCCACCTAAACGACAGGGCATTGCAAGTACTTCCCTCGATACTGTGCCAGGCGGTGGCCGACCCGTCATTGCTGGTATAAGCTTCGTGCTTATCACGTCCTCAAGTGGCTGGAACTGGGACGGAGAAATAGACTGAACGCGGCATAGGAAAGCCCAGCGACTTCTCAAGCCCAAGACATATGCATAATATGCTGCCTAGGGCTGCGAGCGAGCGAAATCAGCCAATCTAGTTAGCTCATCAGCCCACTCCTGGACCTTAGTCGATACAAAGTTCTCCTTGAAGTCAGCTGATCCGATGGCTGCCCCCAGGTACCGAGCTCCATTACACGTAATGACGACACTGGTGTCGCTGAACAGCTCAACTGCCTCACGATAGCAACGCTGCTTCACCACCAGAATCGATTTTGAAGTATTTGGGAAATATCCATAAGCTGGGCCATCACTTGCCAAGATGTCCCACCAACCACCGAGCCTACGCAACACACTCGCCGCTGCGGACTCATCTGCAAACCAAGATTGGATAGTCCCGGCTTGTTCAGCTTTGTGCACGAGAGGCATCATGCCAATGGCATACATGTACATTGCCAGAGGGTCTCCCTGGGTTGTTCCGTCCTTCGACAAGATGCAATCACCGACGACATATAGGCATGCAGGCGTCCTGTAGGTGTTAATAAAAACAGTGGCCAGAGGCGGACAAAGGTGTTGAAAATTCCGAATGCAGACGCTGCGATTCAGGTGGTTGAAACCATTTGTTGCGTCTGCCATCAGAATTCCATCGGTCTCTTCTCGAGCAACCGCCTCCTGCATAGCATGTATGCCCGCCTCCACCCCGCAGTCCTGACCGGCGCACAGCTGGGAGCAGCCAACAACCTGCTGAACCGCAGGGCCCACAATGGACACAATAATTATTGCTTTCCCCACAATGCGACGAACAACCTCGCCGATGCCAATTGGTCTGACACGGGGCCGCTTGTCCAAGGGCAGCAAGCGACATGCAGTGAACGCTATCAATGCACCAGCATCAATATGCTCAGTGGCCACTCTCCTGGCACAAGAAGCAAGCGCATCACACAACCTAACCGAAGCGTCCGTGAAACAGGAGCACATATGACGCCAGGCCTCAGCATCCACACCGCTGGGTCCCGCTGCGCTCTGTGTGCCTAGCGCTGCCTGTCGGATAGCACGGCGCCCCAGCGAAGCAAAATAGATGGGATGCGGAGGAGGAGGCGGCTGTCCCGGTATCAGAGCCTCTTCGCACACGGGCTCAGCCTCATAATGGTTCTGCTTCAATATGTCGATTACTGGAACACCGTCAATTTCATCACTGATGCTGTGCACTCCACCACCACGATCAGCACCAAGGCAGCGCAGAGGAGCCGATAGCCTCCCAGATGCGACACAATCCGCAAACTTTCGTGCAGGATCATCAGGACGACCTCGAACCCTTGTACTGGACTTCTCTCAGAGATTGTGAATAGCCTCTGTTTCCAACAATAATTCATTAATCTGACCATGAAACCACTGGTCCAAACGCCTGTCCAGGAGCTTGGCATGAGCAGGAGGATCACTGCGCGGAACCTGCAGCATCAGCATCTGAAATACTGCTGCCACCATCAACGCGCTGTCAGCGTATGATCCTGCATCACCAAAACAGTTGAAATAAGTAGATAGAGTTGTTATAAATCTTGGCCAACATTTCCGCGAGGCACTTGAAATGCATTCGTAGCAAGATGCACGCACTTACCATAAGCTGTGGAAAGAGCCGTCATAGTCTCAGATGCCATCAAATTGCCCAGACAAAACGCTTCACGAGAGGCTGTCACATGGCCGCAGTCATCCACACCAGGTACTACTGTGGTCGACAAGGGTCGATCCTGAACATGTTTCTCTGGAGAAGACTCCGACAATGACTGAGCACAATGAACCGCACCACCATCACGCGCAATTGATGCACATGACGAAGCAGCACAAACACCATGGACAGCATCAAGGTCGTTACTGTCAGGAACCAATGCGACAGGGACGCTGGCACGCAAAGGTCCAGCCATGGAACTGCAACGAGAGACAACAGCCCCTGGCACTGTTGAAAGGTCATCACCCACATGTGCACTCTCATCAGCAGCCTCCATTCGAAAAACAGCATTATGGGTATGGTTCGAGTTACCACCCCCACCGGCATTGGACAATACCACGTGGTTCACTGGAAACAGAGGACCCACATCGCCTTCCGACAACATTAACGAGATGTTGTGAGGATTCCGACATTTCTCACTCACGTCAGGTTTGCAATTCAAACAAGTCCGACCATCACGTTTACATATGCATTGCCGGCACTGATCAAATCCATTCTGTGCCTGATGCCTCGTCGCGTCTCTGGTGGTAACAGTTTAGCATGGAAGCTTAACCTCATAGTGCCATGGCGCATGGGCCTTCGTGCTCCCCTCCTGTAATGTGCTAGAATTAACACTATAATTATTTGGCATGTACCCTCACTTCGTAGAGCACAACGGCGCGCTCTTCTTCTCCGTGATGTGCACAGTTGCACCTTCTCTCCCCCTCTGTTCAGAGGTGACATAACTCGCATCATTATTTTATTTTTTCGGCGCTACACTCTGTGTAACGCCGTTCACAGAGCACAATGCGCGCTGCCTTCTCCTCTGTGATGTGCTAATTGCACCTTTTCTCTCTCTCTCTCTGTCCCCCCCGTTTCTGCATACTAGGTGATATAATTCGCATCTTTTTTTGGCGCTACACTCTGCCTATATATACTGCTCTTGTGTGGCTTGCACGGTATTCATTGTTATTACCTGACGATGGCCAAGTGCCGAAACGTTGTAAAAATAACGGAACTGGTTCGGATGTAATGTGCAGCGGTATGGGAATGGGTGTGTCCACCTGAATTCTTTTCCAACATATACAGTTAAGAAAAAGTAGTTGTCCTCGTGACGTGTGGTCACTCGTTCCTGACACTAACGAGAATCAGAGGCTTCATAACAAAGCATTTTAACACAGCGTCTACAACTGTTTCCTTCAATCAGTGCAGCAGATAATAATACTCACAGATAATTGAGGTTTTTTCATCACGTATCCAGCAGTACTCTATAAACATACAGTTATAATTACTGTTCTCTGCGTTCAGTGGTGCAGTTGAGAATACTTACAGGTACTGGAGGTTTGTTAGACCAGAGAACACACCGTCACTTAAAGTCTGGATCTGATTACTATCCAAACGTCTACAAACGATAAAGCACAAAGACAATGTTGTTCTTGCTTAGTTGCGGGTAGTGCACAAAACACCGAGTCTAGGGTATAGTTGTTCTAATAAAAGGCCGAAACATGACGCTGTTTTCAGGAATAACCTAGACTCCTAACCACAACATGATTCATATGCAACTTGGTTAGGTTGCACAGTTCACATATACCACTGTAACATATCGTTTCCGTTGTTTTTCTCCCCATTGTCAAGCATGAGGTTTGTTGCAAAGCTAAGAAAACGCAATTTCTGAAGTTACTTTATTTGACACTGCAGAAAAATAACTAACCACCCAAGCATGAAAAATATACTGGCTTGAATTGTTACAAATTGCGTGAGAACTGAATATGACGTTAAACAGTATACCTAAACGGGGACTTCCCAAGGGACTCATAGACTCATAGTCTTTGGCGAATCATGGCGGTAGAAAAGGTACAAAACCCGTCACCTACGTAGGAAAGGCATGTCGCTCAACCTACATGCTAAGCACGTGGGACAAGACACTGGCCAAACCACATTCTATCAAAAGGGCATGACAGCTCAGCACAGAGATGCTCACTATGCAGATCCTGCTGTCACATGACTATCAGGCAGCAGTCGTCACGTTCAGGGACGTGACAAATGCAAACCCCAAAAACCAGAAAAGCAACTTTATAGAGTAGTCGTTGATTTTCCGGGATATTTCCAGGAAAACCGGGAGTGTTCGCTTGTATAGAAATTGTGACAACAAATCAGGGACCAATACATACAGAACACATGACCAATCACACACGACTCTCATTCCCAGACCAAACTAACCCTGCGCATGTTCAGCATTCACTTGACAGTCGCTCTCACAGAGACGGAAAAAGATTCTCACACTCTGACACGGCGTAGTCTTGAAAACACCACATACTATAAATGTCACACATCACAACATACTCGCACGTACACTTAAGACCATATTTTTCCTGATGTTGGGCTGACTGCTCAGCAAACTTTCTCTCACCCACTCTCTTGCTTTAAAGCGACGTTCAATTTTCGAGGAGAGTATTTTAACTCAAAACAGAGACAACTCGCTTGTGATTTGCAAACGTTTCGCGTCGACTTCTGAGGATTTCAGGAGCTGAGTGAAAAGAACCCGTTCGACGAAAGTATCAGTAAAACTCACAGTCTGTTGAGGTTCAGCAAAACAGAGTGGGTTCACATCTCTGCCTCCACCACCGAATGGCAAAGATCCAAGCAACTTGGCTCTCTCTTGGGGGAAGAGGAAGATTTGAGCCCACGAATAGACCAAGCATGAACATCGTATGGCCGCATGTTTTCGCTCTGGATACGACGTCAACTTGTATCCGAGTAAACAAGGCTTTGTCTATGCAATGCCATCGTCCTACCAACGCTGTTCCACAACTGCGAAACCTGGGGACTGACGGAGGCTGCACTGGAGAAGCTGAACGTCTTCCATAGACGTCAACTACGGACCTTTTTCGGAATTAGGTATCCCGCCATCATCTCCAACAAAGAATATAGTTCCAGAGTGCACGCACAGCCACGCTCGCACATCGTAGCTGTCCGCCGTTTCCAGATGCTAGGTCATGTTCTGAGGATGCCCTCAGACGCCCCGCCACATCAGGCAATGGACAACTACTTCCGTCGAGATGTCACTGGTGTGCGTGGACGCCTAAAATCGAACCTGGCCACGGCAGTCAAGGCAAGCGCTGCTGCCAGAGACATGCCCCTGAAGATTGATCAACAAGAGCCCCGTCACGCTGGCGTTTTCAGAGCCAGCTTATGCTGTTTAGTATTTCTTTTTAGGGCTCTGTTATTCGTATGTATTTGTGCAGGCGTTGTGGCAGGATTCCTCACTGTAATTAACACAAAACTGAAAAGAATCAAAAGAATAAAGAAATGATGACCATGACCGATCTGAGTGAGTTCAGAATACGCGCTTTGGAAAAGCAATCATTGAGGGAACTCTCAGCCTGAGCTGGTTTTACTCACGGCTGCAATGCACGGAGTAGTGAACCCAGGACAGAAGCAGACCAGGCATCATGACTTTGCACATCTATCGTTAGGCATTACGCGATCTGTTTTTTTATTCATCAGCACTCAGCCGAAGCGCCGGAGATTGGCACCCACCGGACAAGCATCCAGCAGCCAAAGGTGGGGCCATGCATCATAATTGTGGACATTAAATACGATGGTATGTAAAAAACAGAGAGAAACACACAACACTTTCTCAAATATGGATCATAGGAAACAAGAGAGGGTTTGGAGGAAAATGGGACCGCAAGACCTCCACCACCCAAAACAGAGCATTACAAATCAAGGACGTTACACAGAATAGCTACCGAGCCATAGAGAGCATTCTTCTGCACTTCAGACACCGAGCAGTAGCTGGTGATACCGATGGTTTCAAGGTATCCTGGCAACTGTTTGGAAACAGTGCCCAAACTACCACAAGAACAAACTGATTATTATTTTTCTCACTGAGACTTGGTTTTATTCTATCCCTCCCCGATCACAGTGTAAATATCCGTAACTATGTAGTATTCAGACGTGACCGACAGACAGCCATACTAGGCAGCACAGAAGGAGTTATAGCAGTATATGTCAAATCCAGTTTTTCCCATAGAATTACTAGGCTGCCACAAATGAAGGACCCCGGACATAGAACAACTCTGTCTTCAAGTAGGCGTCACTCAACAGCTTCCAATGGCATCCCATGTCTTCTACTGCCCGCGACATCGTACCGCATACGAACGCGACCAATTGTTCACTTCCTTCAGGCGTACCTTTGCTTTCAGGAATGCTGTATTTTGTTCTCCCATCCTTTCTGGACATTTGCCTCCAGAAACGCTTTATCTGTAATCGTCAGAGAAATCTCGCATAACAACTAAACTATCGTAATCCGACATCATCATTATTCATTTTTCTCTTATCTTTCTCATACATATAGTCAGGGGGCCAAAGTAGGAAAAAGTCATGTCTAAAAGATTTCGTTCCGAGTAAGGGGGCATCAAGTTTTTTCAATTTGAAAGTCAAGTATCTTCAAAATGCTGCAAGATGGCATGCCATTCAATCAAAATTTCCATCGGGAAGGTCATACAATGAAGGTGGAAAGAATTGATGATGGTTGCCATGGCAACAAATCAGTTAATTCAAATTTACAGGAGAACTATGCGATATTTTGACAAAATTCTTGCTGGATATAAACATATCCCATACGTATGACTAGTTGGCCAAGTTTGACTGAAAACAAATAAACTTCAGGGCCCCAAAGGTGAATTATAAAATCGGATCTACTGCAACTATACATTACTGTACATACGTAATATGCATGCATACACCGACAACTGTACAAATATATTGGTGACCAGTGTACATGTGACATCTATCAAGCCTATTAGAAATGAATTAGCAGTCTGTGACCAAAGGTGATCTAATGGATGTATGTATGCGAAGAGGAACATGTAGACGGAAACAGAGCACGCCAAAGTAGTTCTCTAAGTACTGGTACCTATCAGTTGGCAGCAACAAAGAGGAGCGTGTGGCATTCTTGCTGGTGCAGTGGCAGCTCCCGGACAATCTGAACAAGGTGCCCCAGGCAAGGAACTGGTTGCCACTGCAGGCCAAGAGTGCATAATTGTCAAGTCGGTTGGTGCAAGCATGGCGTCTACTGCTGTGGAGGAGTTGCTGTCAACCCAGGAAGAGGCTGACACCAGACTGCTCTTTCATGCAAGGCATGCAGCTGTCAGTGGGTATGAGACCGTTCTGATAAGAACACCAGATACCGATGTTGCCATCATTGCTTGTTCTGTTAGCCATGTTATGCCGTGTACGTTGCCGGTGGAGGTTGGTGCAGGCAACAACCAACGTACAGTCAACATGACCGCTATTGAAGAGAAGCTCAGTGCCGATGTTTGCAATGCTCTGCCCGGCTTACATGCGTTCAATGGTGAAAATTCCACCAGCGCGTTTGCCTTTCGTGGGAAAAGTGCTGCCTTCAACATTGTCCATGGTGATGGTCCCGCCAGTGAATCAGCACGCATACATGTACATGTAGCTATGTGTGAGCTTGGACGTGCATCCACACCCTTAATTTCCCACCAGCCACTTTGGATGCCATAGAAAGGTTCACTTGTCAGATCTACAAGGCGTCCAAGTGCCAGCAGGTGAACGAAGCCTGGTATGAGGTGGCTTGCCAAAAAAACAGCAATCCAACCAGCTACCTCCCTGCATGAACGTTGCTCATGTCGTCGCCATAACAAACATGTTGTGCACTGTTGTCTGCAATTGCACGCATGGTGCCCCTGTGGTTGAATGTTCTAACTGCCAAGAGGACCGTGACTGTGTCAGAAGCAATAACAAACGATGATGCGGAATAATACAAGTAACTGCACTATGAAGAGTCGTCCTGAGTCGGAGCCGACTTCAAGTTGGCCAACCTGGCAGGGCTTGAAGAGTCATAGATAGTGCAATGCACGACTTGCCTTTTGTCCTGTTTCCTGAACACGTCTGTGTGCATGCCACACTTCCTTAGCTGTATCGCATTCCTTGCAGATAGTGTTGCGTCACTGCCCGTACATACATTTTCCTCTTCGCCATACATAAATGTACAAGAATGTACAAGAAAGAAACAGCATGCTGTCCGCAGATTGAGAAAATGTACATACATGTACATTTATGTACATTTATCTACACAAGAGAGAGTTTGGAAGCTTTGTCACAACTCCGAGTTTCACGTATCTCTACGATCATCAGGCAACTGATGGATCCAAAACGGGCAGCCAGAACATAAGGGGGAGCAAGGTGGGAAATTCCGAGGGGTGTCATAGGCGACGCGTATCATAGCGCAAGAGTCAGGTGCAGGCGTGAAGTTGCCAAGTCTTCAGACTTGGGGCTATGCAGCAGTAGTTCCGGCATGAATGATATAGAATAGAGCTGGGGGCAAATGCCAAATCCACACATGCCCACACCACAACACAAACATACACCCAC